ATCGACACCAAGATTTGTATTAAAGTTTTGTGTTGATGATGGAAACAATTTTGACTAATTTAATACTTATAGATTCGTTAATGAACAACCAAGAAGAAAATAAAAAAAATAATGTAGAAGGACAAAGATGGTGTTCATGTGTGACCACCTCAACATATTTGTCAGTTTATAATTCTGAATATCATCAGAAATTTCGATTTTAAATTTTGAAAGATCTAATCTTTGATAAGAAAGTCCTTTACCTTCTTTATTGGTCTATAAACAAAAATTCATATCAATGAAGTCAATAAGTTTAAATACTGAATCATTAAATAAAAATATATATAATTTGATTTTAGTTCTATATTAAATTTCAAACTTTAATTTGTGAAGAGTCGATAATTAATTTGTCAAAAAAACAAAAATTAAAGTGAATTTAGTCAACTCTAGCTAAGGAGTGTTTAACAAATATATATATATACATATTGTATCCAAATCTTGAACAAACTAGTATATCTAGATAAGATCAACACTATATTATCTATTTTTAGATCTCCTAATTATTTTTGTCATTATTTTTGTCTTGTTAAAATTTAAAGTAGCTATATTCCTATATAGTATTTATTTTTAGTCAAAGCTAAACTACCTTCCATCATAGAATTTTCCTCATTTTGTAGCTAACGTAATTTTCCTCATTATGTTATCTTAAGTATCCGTTTTTTGACATTTCTAGATTTAGACGCATAAAAATATTAAAAGTCAAACTCATAAAGATTATATTTTGATTTATCTCTGAACCAGTAATAGTAATAGTTGGATTGGAGGTGAGGGCAGTGGCCGGTGTGAATGGAGGCTACAGGGGTGGAGGTAAAGATGAGGTGAGTCAGAGATGGTAAGAACACAATCAACGTGGAATGTCATTTGGAACTTGTACTCCCTACTTCCATCGAAAAAGTTCTAAAATAGGGCGGCTTTTATAAATCAAAAGACTAAGAGGACGATCTTGTAATATTCCAAAACTTAAAGAGTTCACATAGAAGAAGCAATTATACGTAGTACGTAATATATGTTACTATACGATTTGACCCCTCAATAATATTGTTTTTTTTTCTTTGTCTCCAACTCGATTTTTAATATTATTTTGGAATTTGACTAATTCAAATTATTTCATGTAAAACTAATTAGAGAGGGATCGATCACTATCAATTTCTAAACAAAAAAAAAAAAAATCTTATTCGTCTGACTATATAACCCTCGAATAAAAACCTCAATCATGTTGTGTAAACATAATGAATGCGCAATAAACTAAAATAATGTTATCACTTTCAAGTATCAATATTCCAAAAGATTATAATTTAAAAAGTAATCATGTTATATGTTTGTAACTTATGAGAAAATATTCCAATTCCTTTAAATAGATGGGACAATTATTTAGGTCCAATCTTTATCTTTATCTTTATCTTTATCTTCAACATGCTAGAATAATTCAAAAACTATTAAGAAAAGAACTAAGCCATCAAATTACTTCAAGAATGTGACTTCCCATTTTTGATATATTTTTATATTCGTTATTTCATAATTGTTTTTAGTGAGGTAGACATGTGAATAGTACAAGACGTGACATTAATGGATATGCCAATAAATTTTTATAATAATCGTTGAGAATTTTTTAATATATAAAATTAATTAGTAAATTAATTATGTAAGATTTTTAAAGAAAATTGGGTGAAGTTGGCTTTTAGTAGGCAATTCAAACAACTTTATTTATAGCTTACATTTACGCAAAAAGTATGTGTATTTTAATGGTTGTTTTGAGGTAGAAATTGTTAGTATACGAACAACGTTTTAAAAAAACAAACTACATGATTTTTTTTTAAAAAAATAAATAATATATTTATCATATTATATCAAAAATATTTTTGAATTAATTTGTAAAAAATACACTAAGTTCTTATTTTGCTTTGTTTTATATATATATATATTTCTATTATATATGATGGTGACATTTTTGCTTGGTGGGCCATTTTTTGTCTCCTTTATTTACAAGTACAAAAATACAAATACAATAGAATCACGCAATTTCTTGGAAAAGATTTTAAGATTTTTCAAAAATAAAACCCATTCCTTTTTCCACTTTTGTCGATTACTCTCCACTTTTACTTATCCGCTATATAAAAAATATAAAATTTATAATTATTTATTAAGTTTAAAATATTTCTAAAAATATTATCTTACTATATCTATTAAAACCTTATTATTGAATATTATTTATATTTAATATTTAAATATATTATAATAAATAAAAATAATATAATAAAATTATTATTTTTTAAAATCAAATATGGACAAACAAAGATAAATAGAGAGAGTAATTCTTTACGCAACTTGCTTGGACTAAAGTACATAATATTCAACACCTTTTCCTTTTCTATATACATAAAAAAAAAAAAATAGTTGAGATATCCGTCTTCAAGTAACATGGTGGAATAATTAAAATTTCTTTATTAATGAATTGAAGGGTTTCGGATTTGAATTAGTGGTGGATACAATCTATTAATATCATATTCATTTTGAACCCAATTATCTTGTAGCAACTCACAAATTTATGTATAAAAATTGTATAAAAATTTATTAAAATTAAATTTGTAATTTCAAAAATATAATTAAATATAAATAAGTGCCTAAAAGATGTTGAACCAATAAAATTTAAATTTTGAATTTGTAATCATAAAAATAATATTAAAAATCTTGATAGGAAACATTTTATTTAATTAGCTCTACACAATACAACAACAGCATCATACCTTTAATAAGCTTTAAATAATACATATCATAATTAATCTGATCAATAAATTCCAAATTTTGAAAGATTTCCATAGGTGATTCTTGACGTGCTCTAGTGATAGTCAATATATAAAAGCTAACAAAAGCTCATGAAGAATAGGTGGCTTTCCTTTCAATGTATATATAAATTAAATTTTCCAATCCAATAATAGAGTTGAAAAGTTGGGTCTAATTGTCTAAAATAGGTGAGTTTTGAAAAAAAAATTATTTTATATTTTTTTGGAAAATTCCTTAACCATCCTTCTATTTCTTCTAAACTTCTCCAAAGACTTGTAAAATGTGATAGGTTCTACATACTATTTAAACAAAGACCACAACTTTTAGCTTGTGGTTGAAAATTCGTGACAAGTAGAATAAGATTAAGATGCGGAATCAGAATTTACGGTTTATGTGTTTGGAATATTTTTTAAAAAAATATCAAATTTTAAATTAATAATTTATATATATAAAATTAATTTTTTGAGATAAATATAGAGTTGATTCAAAACTAGTGATTTTGAACTTGTAATCTATAAGAATTTTATAAGATAGAAAACACTAGTTCAGATGGTACAATTCGATAATGACATAGTGCAAGAGATAATCCATAAAGTTTAACATGTCAAAACGGACAATACATATCATAAGTTTGGACCGTAACCGTCGATTCTTAATTTTCTTTGAAATAACATATACACAAAAGGCAAAATTGAAAGAAATTATAAGTGATTTCCCAAAAAACAATATAATTGTACTATATGTCCCTTTTTGTGATAGATGGAGTAATATACTAATATCACACGATTCTTTTAGCTAAAGAAAGACAAAATATTTTAACTAAACCATTAAACACGCTATTTTAAAGTATTAAAGAGAAACTTTTAAACTGAATCTTTGTGATAGGAAAAACAAATTTGAGAAAAAAGAAGAAATCCTATTTATATTTTAAAAGTTAGAAAATTTGATGCCACACCATAATAATACACAAAGTTACGATTAAAAATGAAGAGAAAATAAAAAAAAATATTAGATAAGTAAGCAAGAAAATGCTATCGCAAAACCATCTAATAAAACACGATAGGGTGAGATGAGGCAGGGTGGGGTTTCGAGGGTGGCCGGGGGGATAGTCCAGAGATGGTAATGAAATAAATGAATTTGGAATATCACTTATGGAGTTTGTTTTCCCTGCTTTCATTGAAAAAATCATGATTTTCTTTGTGAAACTTATTTTTCTAAAAAAAAAAATGATAATATTTTTCTCCGTACTGAATACACTCTAAATTATGGATCCAAGAAAGTCTATGTCATAATGTGAAAAATGTAGGTAAAGAAGAAATGCACAAAAAAGAAGAAACTAATGGAGTGTGAACCAATCCTATCAATGCTTTACACATTTCAAGCAACCACTTTTGATTATTTTTTTGAAGTGGACATGTAATTAATGTTACAAAAATGTGAACCTTAAAAAGAATAGGTAGATGGCCTAATCAAATTAAATTAATAAAATATTGGTGGCTATCACTAACATGTACTCCCACCTTCTCAAAATAAATCTAGCTTTAACAAAAAGTAATTGTCCCAAAATAAATATCGCAACTCGCAACAATTATGCTGAACTTTGAACCATTCACTTATTTTACTTACTATGGACTAGACGGAGTACCTTCTATTCATTGTGTTTTCTTAATAGGCATGAAATGAACTATAAAACTCTACCAAAAAGAGTTTCATGCCTTTTGAGGACAAATATACAGGCCTTTGAAACATGAATCTGTCTATTTTGTAAGTTATTATAAACGTTAGATAACAATCTAATAAGATTGCGAAATATAAGAGCAAACATTCTACGCTATTCAGAAGGATAGTTATTTCTCAAGGTTATAGTTGCGCAATGTCTAAAAGACAACACTTGTGTAAATCAACAGACTTTTTTCAAGGCAAATTAGGTATGCAACTAAATAATTTAAAATCTCCATCTCTGAGAAACCAGTCATAATCTTGTAATCCAGAAAAATACAACTTCTTTAAGAGAAGAAAATGAATCAGCAAAACGAAAAAGGCGATAAAATTTCAAAAATTGCACTGCTAGGCTCACTTTGAACTACTGGAAATTTTTTAGCACAACATATTATCAGTTGCAACGCGTACCAGCTTATCTTAGCTGCAAATAAGTATCGCGCGTTTTCCTCTCTTTGTTGATCTTAGCTCTCCATCTACATTGTCAAGCTATCTGGATTCTCAATTATCTTGGAAAAGGTTTGAAGGAAGGCTGCTAAGTCCGCGCCATACACAACTCGGTGATCTGCTGTGACGTTTACCTGTAAATAATTCAAAATGTGAAGTATGAATTGATCTTATGATGATGAGAACATCACTTTATTACAGAAGTTCACACGAGACTTTGGTTAAGACTTCAAAAGCAAGGTTTCAACCATAAGCAAAGAAAAAAAAGTACATATTTCACATGATTAAAGAAGCACTCTCAGTAGCTATCCGGTCTTACTTCTACCAACAGTTACTGTTCTTTAAGCCCGAGAAGGAAGACAAAGAAGGGAAATATACAGAAAAAACTTTCGATAGGTAGCAGCCTTTCCCGTCAAAGGAAATGACAGGGGAGGAAAGGGGGTTTTCGGAAGGTGAGAAAATCATGAAAAGGAAAGGTCAAAAGTTAATCAGTTAATAATGTGCTAGATGATGCATGCATATAGGTAAATCAGCAAGGTTAGCATTATGTCTAGATGAAACTGTGAGATGAAAAAGTCAGTAAGACCAAAGATTAAGGGAACCACCCACCCAGTTCTATTGTGTTTAAAACCAGGCACATTGATTTTCGGAAACCTGATTTTTGGGAACCAACTCTAGTTGGTTTTGGTGAAGGCTGGAAACAAATTGAGACAACAGTTGCCTTGCTTCTGGCAATTTGTTTTCTCTTATACTTTTTTTTTTCAGACAGTTGAAAGTACATTTAGTAAAGAATAAAAAAAATGTTTAGACGGTTTTAATTATGTTTTCTCCAGTATGATAGCATCTAAAATGTTTGTTTTTAAGTGATATGTTTCAGAACATAAAAACTTCTCAAAACTAAATCCAAATTCACATTTTAAAAAATCAAAACTAAGTCCTTTAATAGCAGCCATAAAACAAACCAATCTTAACTCCAAAGATAGCTAACGTTAACTAAACCCAAGGATAAAATCCCACAAATACATGCCAAGAATACTCCCAAACCCGGATAAAGGATAAGGATTGCAATAGGTTGATGACCAGTGTAAAACTAGTCAATTTATAGAGAATTCATTTAAGTATCCCAACTAGTTTGGAGTTGAGGCATCATAGTTGCTACATCTCCTTTAGACTTTAAACAACACTAGAGACGAAAGAAATCCTGTTCACATGTGCCTCACTTGCCATTGGATTCTTGTTACATAGTTGGGACGATGAGTAAAGATAACAAATTTTATCTCTTCATATTCATACGAAGGACACTTAAATGTGAGATAGATTCGATAAGTACCACTATCATCATAAACCATGGCTTGCTAGGTTTATAAAATCCAAAATGCTATTAACTAGAACTGAAATCCACCGTAATCCATGGAAGCCACACTAATTCTCAAAAAGACCTCATGAGACTAGCTGGATATTCGTGATTATAGCCTAAAGGCTTCAAAGTTAACAAACCCCAACCCTATCTAGACCCAAGTCAACTAGCACCACCCCATAGCAGGCCAGCACATGACGCGAGGCACTATCTACTATCTAGAGCCTTTACTGTGAGATGGTAACTTCCATAAGAAAAATCTCATCAGCCTTTTATGCTGGTTGGTTGATGCAAAATTGGAGACCACATATCAAATCAGAAAGTTGCAGAATTACCCATAGAACTCAGCATGTAAAGACTGTCGTATTTCAGTAATTTCGAGCTGCAATGAGCGAGTTCTTATTACTGGAACAACCAAGAATTAGCTAAAAAGTAAAACTAAGTTCTTTATCTACCAATCCCATATAGCACTTATCAAGGGGAGAATGAAGCCAACTTCACCACAATTAGCACCGATTGTTGGCAACCCTTCTGATGATTACCAACCCTTGCAAGTGTCTGCATTTTGAGGTGCGTGCACCGCACCCAAATTGGTTCGTAGGATGTAAATGGACCACATGAGATTGAAGTTTTTTTCTCTAGACTCTATTCATGGTTCTTCGATCCATATGTAACCAAAAATTGATGAGACATATGACTGATGTTTGTTGTTGTGCTTGAGTTAACTTGACAAGATCCAAATACATCCGCACTTAACTTGTCATAACTTGTTCAGATATGATTGAAGATTATGGACTACTTCGGATACAAGAATCACCAGTCCCACTTATCAAAGAAAAAATTTAAACTAGAAGTGCAAGAAAACACCAGTCCATTGCTCTTTACAAAATAATGTTCCTATCCCAGACATTTAAGAAGCATATTAACTAGCAGTTCAGCCAAAAGTCATTGTGAAAGCTCCAATATCTTGAACAAAATTAAAAACTGCAAACACTGAAGAGGATAAAAGGAAAATCTTTTTGCACATTAGGTCTGCTTAGCACCATCTGCGATAGAGCACGTAGTAATGGATAGGAAAGCTATGGTTATCTTGCTACTGAACATGATCCCACATCCCAGTTGGCAGTTAAAATCTCCCGGCCAATCTTCACAGACAAAATATATTAGGTCCATATGCACAAAGGTCCAGCCGATAAAAGTCTGGAACACTTCGGAAGGGAAGCCTTGGCGTAACTGGTAAAGTTGTTGCCATGTGACAAGGAGGTCACGGTTTCGACCTGTGGAAACACCCTCTTGCAGAAATGCAGGGTAGGGTTGTGTAGGCTGCCCTTTTATTCCATATTTTTAAAATTCTATAGCTTATCATTGTCCATAATGGTTAGGTACATTGAAACTTACATAGGTTAATCTCATTCTGAAAACTATTCCTCGTCTTCAACTTGCATATCACTCTCTAAGGCCTACCAGACTAGACCGTCTTCACGACTTCATAGATATCAAAACTAACTACTGGAAGAGATCTGTATGCATGACGCATCAACCATGCTAATAAAATCTAAAGTAAAAAGACACCCTGAGAAGCATGAAGGGTAGGGAATGAAGGAACCCATCTACTGCAAAGTAGGGAAAATATAGGAAACCTACAAGAATCTCTTGATATCCATAACATCTACAAAAACTTTTTTTTTTTTGCTATATGAGGTAAAGATCATGAGTACATCAAGAATTCTCGAAGATTAACAAGAAGAAATCTTATGGAAACAAGATAAAACAATTAACTTTATCACATAAGGGTTTTTAAATTTTTTTTTTTGATAAGTAACATTTGTATTATAAAACTCAGGACTTAGGTAGTGTTAAACCCCTTTACAGCAAGTCTAAGAATAGTAATATAACAAAGATGACGCGGCCATTTAAGAATCCAACAAAAGCTACCGAGAATTATCAGTCAAACTGATTATATGATGTCTAGAAAGGTGGCTTTTTGCCACAAGCACTTGAAAGGGAAGTGGAAACTTTGAAATCTATAAAACATGCCCTTAAAAATAAATAAGTGGCCCTTCTCAACAAAAAAAAAAAGGGTGCACAATCATATTTTGTTTATTTTTCTTTGTTTTCAACATCTAGAATTCAAGGGAAACAGGAATTGTTTTAACCACAGTTCACATAAAAATTCAACGAGAATTAAGAATTTTGAGTGGCTAGAGTAAAGACAAATTAGTTGGGCAACATTATCTAATTAGAGTGAGCGCTGATATGTGTCAATAAATTTCACTTCTAAAGTTATCTTCAGTCAAACCTAGCACTTAAAACAAATTAACAATGGGAAGAGAATGCAAGACATACCAGCATCTTATTTTTGACGCTGAAGAACCCATCAGCATTAGCTACAGGAGTTGGTTTTGATGCTCCAACAGCCATTATAGCCCCCTGAACATCATTCAGTTTTCAAGTTGATGTTACTTGCTAACAACACAATGAAATGTATCGGAAACAAAAGTCAGCTACATCCAACCCTCACCTGGCCAGGAGGAAGAATAGCATCAAATCGGTCCACACCAAACATGCCCAAGTTGGACAAGGTGAAAGTCCCTGAATTTGGAAACCACAACACCTCAGTAGACTCCCGTAGGATAACCTAGAAATCCAGTTACAAATTCAACAAAAACAAAATAAACTAGTAATAATAGTAACCTGAATTGTACTCATGTGGTTGTAGTTGCTTAGCCCTAGCCTTCTCTACCAGTTCCTTCCACTTTTGAGACAACAGATACAGATCCAACTGCACCAACACAAGATAAAAATAAGCATTACCTATGAGTCTATGACTTAACATCTTTCACAAAACTAACAACAATTTAAACCAACCAAAAAAAGAGAGACTTGATTCAGTGATACTACCTTGTCAGCATCCTGAAGCACCGGTGTTATCAACCCACCGTTAATGGCCACCGCAACAGCAATATTTATACTGCTGTTGTACGTAAAGCTCTTTCCATCTTTACAAGAAGAATTCACAACTGGATGTTGAGCTAGTGCCATTGCCGCAGCTTTGGCCAACAATGCGGTCATTGTAACACCCTTCTTCTTGACCTGTTTATCAATTTAATCACAAGATAGTCTATGTTTAAACTCCAGAATCTAAAACCAATTCATATCAGTTAATTTGCACATTTTTATTATGCATCACATAATAGTCTATGTTAAGTCATGTGACCACCTCATCTCAGAACACAATTATTTATTCTGCAACACTTCCATCACAACACTTAGGCCAAGCGAGTGAAAATTCTTGTGAACACCCTATTAAATTGAAGTATAACTTATACTCCCTCCGTTTTAATTTTTTTGCCTAACTTTCCTTATTAAATCGTTTTAAAAAGAATGTCTCTTACACTTTTTGACAACTCTTTAATACTTCACCTGACATGTTTAATACCACAAGATTAAAGACATTTTGGTACACTCTACACATATATAGTTTAAGACCACATGACTAAAAAAGTAAACTTTACTTTCTTAAACTCTGCATCAGGTCAAAACCAGACAATCAAATTGAAACTAAGGGAGTATTGAGTTTGCAACTAAAGTCTCAAATTTAAATCACTCACCTTTAGGTATAAATCATCAAGGGCATCAGTAATAACTGGATATCCAACACGAAATGTTGGAACAGAGAGACTCTCCATCATATTCTTGGACACTGCAACTTGCATTGTTGTGAACGGAACAACTGTTGACCCAGGAATCTCCGGTAAACTAACCGGAGCAGCTTTCGCTGGCGTGCCCACTGCCGGAGCAGCAGCAGTAGCAGCAGCAGGAGGTGGGCTAATACTCTTGGATGGTGCTGGAGTAATTCCAGCAGCTTTCTCAACATCCTCCGATGTAATCCGTCCAAATGGGCCAGTCCCATTCACTTTATTGATATCAATTTTATGCTGCTTCGCCAATTTCTTCGCATTTGGGGTCGCAACAATCTTCTTCGGCTCATCAGAAGAAACCCCAACCGGAGATTGAGGTTCAGGAGTACTCTCCGATCCAGAAGAAGAACCCCCAGATTGTCCTTTCGCTTTTGCTTTAGCTTCAGCAATTTCATCTTCTGTTTCAGCTAATAACCCAATAGGAGCACCAACAAGTGCAGTTTCACCTTCATTAACGACAATAACAGCTAAAATCCCATCGTAAAACGTCTCAACATCCATATCAGCTTTATCCGACTCCACAACAACAACCGATTCACCTTTAGACAAAACATCACCTTCCGATTTAACCCAAGATACGATCTTTCCTTCAGTCATCGTTGAGCTTAATGCCGGCATGAAAATCTCTCGAATCTTCGATTCAACAACTGGGAGTTTGTAATTTCTGGGTTTCTGAGGGAGCATTGTGCGTGTGGTTGAGAAACGACCGAGGGAAGATGAGAAGGAGATTGCAGAGGATTGAAGTGACGCCATTGAAGCTAAAATTTGGGGAATTTTTTTGTGAAAATGGTGAATTGAGGGAAGATTTATATGGAGAAAAGGAAGAAGAAAATGGCGGAGAAGACGAGGAAGTGTTAATTCAAGTGTAGCTTTGAGTTTTCCGCCGATTTGGTTGCTGTATTTTTAGGGGCGTAGGCAAAAGTTTGTTGGGAAAAATGTTCCCAAATAGATTGTTTAATTTTGTTTCTGAAAAAAAAATAAAAACAAATTACACAAATCTCATAATGTTAAAGAGATAATTACATTCTATCCTTATTTTTTTTCAAATTACAAATAATTCTTAAATTTGGTAGAATCATGATACATTCCAAAATGTCTCAATACATCGTGTTCCGATTTCGGATACATCCCTCAACGTCCTGATACATCACGTAAAATGATGTATTCGAATGATACATTGCATAAAGTGACGTCCCGATATATCGCGTATGTACATCGTAAAGTGATATATCCGACTGATACATCACATAAAGTGATGTATTCGATTGATACATCGTGTAAAGTGATGTATCCTACCTATACATTGTGTACAGTAATGTATCCGACCCGATACATCACGTAAAGTGATGTATTCGACTGATACATTGTGTAAAGTGATGTATCCCATCGATACATCGCGTAAAGTGGTGTATTTGACTGATACATCCTGTAAAGTATGGATTTTTGTAATTTTTTCAAATGGTAGGGAATTTTAGAGAATATAGTAAAATAAGTTGTGTATTTAGATAGTTTTTCCAAAAAATTATTATGTTTGGTTAATGGTTATACATATTGAAATGTTCTTTTGGATTATTTTAAAAAAATGACATAATTTAGAAATACTATGAGAGGTTTTAGTATTTTTTTTTTTTTTAATTCAGTGTACGAATTTTGCACATGTATATCGCACTGACTAATAATGTATATAAAAATAATAAAATGTTAAGCATGGGTTATATTATTAAGTACAAAAACACACTCAACACCAATATACTTAGTGAAATTTCATTATGAAAAGGGTAGAGTATACACAAACTTTATCACTACTTGTGTAGAGGTATAAAGACTGTTTCTGAAAGCCCATAAACTCAAGTACATCAAATCCAAACAAAGGAAGAAGAAAATAATGATGAAATCATAACTGTTAATAAGATAAGCAATGTAAATAATGGTGGATGGACCATTACTTGCGTAGGTACGAATGTTGTTTCTGAAAGACAATCAGCTCAAATGCATCAAATCCAAACAAAGGAAGAAGAAAACATAGCACTCAGAGTTCAGTAAATAAAAATATAAATGTGTATCCAACAAGAGTCAAAACGTGGGGCTAACTCTCCTATTTGATTTAGCTGACTCAAAATTAGTATATCAATATAAATATAGAAATTTTATCCTATATATATAATGTAATTTGTTGCCGAGGGGGTTAGGGTCCCTACCACCCACATAGGTCCGCCCTGAGTGTAAAGTCTACAAGAAAGAAATAATAACAACAACAACAATAAAATAGTGTGATAATTGAAACACAATAAACAACATATGACAAGAACTATAAGAGTGCGTCTAGTACTACGACAAATACTAACAAAGCCTAAACCTAAGCACGACAAGACAACACTTCAATCTCCATCCCTAATAACCTTCTACCCTGATACACGACTTTCAATTATTCCTATCCAGAGATTTGTCCTCAATAATACGAAGTTGCACCATATCCTATATGATCACCTCTTCGCAATAATTTTTTCAGCCTACTTTTACCATTCCGCGTACCCCTTATAAGCAATCTCTTGCACCTCCTTATTGGGCATCAACACACATCGTCTGCACATTACCACTTTCTTTTGGATAACCTCATTCATAATCTTATTGCTCCTAATATGTTCATACATTCAGCTCAACATCCTAATTTCTAATACAAAAACACACTCAACCATTGTATTTTAAGAAATCGTATATCAAAAGTAGATAAGTAAAAATAAACAAAACAATATTTATGATAAATAAACAAAACAATATTTATGATCAATCTAATCATGTTCAACTTTATCCTTTGCTAGCAATGAGAAAGTCCACTCTTGGTCCCTTTCCCTCGTATTTCAAACAAATCAATCAAAATCAACAGACTTTTTGGGGTCTATTTGTAACTTTCTAAACTTCAGTACCCAATTATTATTATTCTCTTATTTCCAAATATCACCTCAGCTTTTCTCTCTCTATAACTCATCATAATCTCTCTTAGACCCGAATAATTTTCCGACAAAACCTAACCCTAATTCTTCAATGGCCAGCGATTCCAATGAACCTTCCCGTCGCAAACACCATCGATCTTCTCCTTCCGATGAGGATACCGGAGAACCATTGAAACGCCGTAAGCACCGACACCATCATCGTCACCACCGTCACCATCGCCATCATAGTAAGAAGCACCTAGAGAAATCCGATTCGAAATCCGAGAAGGAAATGGTTAAATCAAAAAGTGAGATTGAGAACGGAGGTAAACCAGGAGAAGAGATTAGGATTGGTACTGTTGTTGGTGTTTCTACTTTAGGGATTGATTATGATATGGAGGAAGGAGAAATCATTGAGGATGATATTGTGGATACTGCTGCTGTTGGTGATGCTGATGAGAATACCGTGGCCGAAAAATTGGGGAATGAAGATGATTTGAACATGGTCTGTTCAGATTTCTTTCGATTTTAATTGCTGTATAAATATCGTGTTTATTTATTTGTTCTTCCAGGGCCTGTTTGGTTGCTGTCATGGTTCTTTGAAGATTAAGAATACAATTTAGTTTGGTTTTGAAAAAAAAAAGTGATATTTTTGGTAAGTAGTGAAAAACTTCTGTTTTCAAATGCAACATTTCAACTTTAAGCAACCAAAAAAGGGGCCTTTGTTTAGAATTTTACTATTTTTAGTGTCCAAGATATGTTAAATTAATGTTGTTTCAACTGTTTGATTAATAAGTATGTTGCATAAAACAGACATGAGAATTATGTATTCCATACAGAGCTTTGAAGTCCTGATGATTGAGGGCTTTCTTTTTATTAGTAAGAAACTTTCTCGTGACTGTTAAAATTTGAATCTTTTTTGTCTGCTAAAATATTGGAAAATTGTACTTTATCATTTAATTCAGCTCATATTTCTTGTCTAGGAATTGCATGAAGCTCAAGGACAAGGGCCTGCAGACAATGTGGAAAAAGTTGACAGAGATTCCACTGTTTCAGGACGGCATGATGAGCAAAGGCAAAGTAGAAAGGCAGATAGTTCTAGAGAAAGAAAGTCCAGAGTCAAGCATTCTGCCAATGGTAGTCACATAGATGAATTTCATAAATTGGAGTCTAAACCACAGAAAGAAGATAGTATCGCTGGTGAAGAAAGTACAAAACAAAAGAGCTATCATGAGGATGAAAGTGATTTACAGGATCAAATAATAAAATCCTTAACTCCTGAAAATGTTGGGAAGAGGCATAAATCTGTTAGGGTATCATCTTCACATTATGAGCACCCTGAAGAGAGACATGTTACAAAGTCATCCAAGTCACCTGATCGCTCCAGAGGAAGATCACGATCAAAAAGTGTTCTGGAGGAGTCTTTCCTTGTACCTAAGTCTCGTGAGATAGATGACACATATGAAAAGGAAAGCAGATATAGAAGTAACTTTGATGATGAAAAAATTGGATACAACCGGGACTATCGACATGGAAGCCGAGAGTCTTCAAGGGATAGGGAAAAGGAGCATAATTCTTGTAACAGTAGATCCTCTAGAGACAGGTATTATAACAGGGAGAGTGTTGATAGATTTCGGGAGAGTATGGAGAATGACAGGGAGCGTGAGTTGGCTAGAGAAAAGCGAAGGGAGAGCGATAAGGAGAGGGAAAGAGAGAAAGCTCGAGATAGGGAAAGGGATAGAGAAAGAGAATATGAGAGGGGGAGAGAGAGGGAAAGGGAGAGGGAGAGGGAAGAGAGAGAAAGGAGGACTAGGGATAGGGAAAGCAGGGGACGTAGTAGGGAGGCAGATAGGGATAGAAATAGCGATAGGTACAGCAGGCAGCAGGATGACAGTCTTGCTTATAATAGACGTAATAGACATTATGAGACTGACATTGAGAGAGAAAGGACAAGTAATCACTTTAAAACTGAGACCACAAAGCAACATGCTGTAGAGACAGAGAGTGAGAGATCTAAAAGGTATTGTTAATTCTAGCTAGTGACTTTTGATATCAGAACCTCTTCATCAGAGGTGTTTTACTTAATATGTGGTTCTTGTTTTTTCCATTTTTTGGTGTATCGCAGAGATAAAGTTGAGCAGGAGGATTATCAGGAAAAAGTTGTTTTCCAGCTTGCTGAACAGGAAGAAGAAGATGAACTCGATAGAATTAAGGAGGAGAGCAGAAGGCGAAGGCAAGCTATTCTTGAAAAATATAAGATAAAGAACTCACAGAAGGAACAAGTAACTCAATCTGGGGACGTTGGTAATTTCTTTGACTTGAGTTCTTGATATATTATTTGATTCTGTTTTGCTGTATTTTATATACAATACCTTTACGCGAATGACAAGTCTTTGGTTGGTTTTTTTTTTTGTTTTTCATTTTTTTGTTGTTAAACTCGACGGTGGTAAAACACCTCCAGGTTTATCATCTGCGTATTCATGAATATAAGCTGTGAATGTTGTATTTTGGCCAATCAATCTCGCATGCTGCATAGCAGTTTAAGTGCCAAATTTCTGCCTGCTTAATGAGTTTGATTTTGGATTTGCTCTCTTAAATATGTATGTTATAGATCTTATTATGTTAGTTGGAGTCTGTTGTCACTCAGGTTTTATGAAGTCTTGCATTGCACTGTATATGATTCTAGAGTTTTGTGCTAAGATATTCTCTATTGATTTTTTCCATGTCTGGGTTGAGTTCTGGGCTCTAACTATGTTTTTCATTTATTGGCATTAGTTGAGATTCACATGGAGCAGTCAACCCAAAAACCGGCAGCCAGACAGAATGTTGTGCAAGAGTCTATTGATGCTAAAAGCAATGGTGCAGATGTCGAGCCAACATTTTCTGTTGGGAAATCACCTCTGCAGGGTGGTCATATTGGTGATGTGCAGGCTTCTGGAGCTGGTGGACTGGGACAGGGTACTCCAAAGGTGTGTTCACATGCCATTGAGATTTAAATGGGGTTTTCCTTTCTGGTGGTCTGGTGGTATTCATTCTGCTTTTTTACCTTTCAACACTATTTTCTGGGAGATCTTAGTTCTTGTCCTTAAAGTTTGTTTTAGAATTAGTTGATGCAGTAATTTGCCTTCTAGGTCTGCCTTTTGCTCCAATAGTCTTTTTCCTAAATGCTGGCTTTATCTGATGATTGACTTCCGTTTACTACTCTTTGCAGAGTGAGAGGTCGGCTGACATGTTTTGTGACGATATATTTGGAGAATCGCCTGCTGGCATCAGGAAGATGGTCAGTTGCTTTCTTAGAAACATAGTCAGAGATTTTGTGTTTGCTAATTCTTGGATTTAGCTTGTGTTGACTTTTAATGTAAGAGAGATTGGGCACTAAAAGCATGCATACTGTTAGGTAATCCAATGTAGCACTTGTTATGTTGGCCATCTCATTGTTTATTTATTTTTAATTTAACTAATAGTGAGCAAACCTTTCTTTCCTGCTGAACCAAAAATGACAAACAGTGAACCATTTTGGAAACGATGGCTATAAAATTCCTCTCACTACATTATGTCTGCTTCTTTTAGATGTTGGAGATTTTGTAATACCATTTAATTTCAGTTTAAAGTGTGATGTCTAGGAATATAATGTATTGTTAGAACACTGGATTGTATGAGTCCCTATATTTCGTTGCTCCTCGTTGCCCAAACGATAACAAAGGAAAACTCCGCTCTAATAAGAGAGAAAAAGAGGATGGGTTTCATACTTTGTACTTGTACTGAAACTGTGGGAAACATGTTACTCTGCTTATAGGAAGTCCTTTCCTTGTTTATGTAATAAGCACCCGAATTTCATTTTTCTCTGGTTTTATTTGCTGTCTGTCAGGGCAAAGGAGATGGTGTAGCAGTTGAGCGCAGTGGCCTTCATGATAACTGGGATGATCCGGAAGGGTATTATAGTAAGTATTTCATCTCACTTGTTACCAGGATCTTTCATATTTTAGCGTTTACTTCCATGCTAGTGGTAGTGTTCTACTACATCTGATACTTGGCACCATACTCCTTCATTTTTGCTCATGATAGCCTCTCTTTGTTAATTTTTATCCGAAAATGCTTGATAAATTTTGAGTACCCTATGACTCATTTTCTGTTTGCTTCTGTTTAATAACTATAATAGTGCAATATTTATTCAGGTCCAAAAACACATAAGGAAAAAATGTCTTGAAGTTGAGATTTTCTTTTTGCTAGTTGATATTATTTTTCCCATTATCCATTGAGTTTAGAACCTTGCTGCTCTGACCCTCGGGGATATCTCAGTTGTAAAAAAAGTTGATTTAAGATTGGCAGGAAGTAGTTTCAGAGAAGCTTGTTATGTTGATTAATTTTTGCTATGATGGCTGAAAATTGCTGTCTTAGTTGGTGTCTACTTGTCGGTTTGCAGGTTATCGGTTCGGAGAAATTCTTGATGGCCGTTATGAGATTGTTGCTGCTCATGGTAAAGGAGTCTTTTCTACTGTTGTCCGCGCTAAAGATCTCAAGGCTAGACCTGGTGACCCTGAGGAAGTAGCAATAAAAATGATACGCAATAATGAAACAATGTGAGTAGTTTCTTAGTTTCCCCATTTTGTGCTGCCTTGATAGATCTGGTGGCCTAATTATGTTGTTTTCATCCTTTTCAGGTATAAAGCAGGTATGGAAGAGTTGGTCATTCTGAAGAAGCTAGTTGGTGCAGATCCTGAAGACAGGCGCCACTGTGTTCGTTTTATTTCTAGCTTCAAGTACCGGAATCATCTCTGTTTGGTTTTTGAGTCTCTTCATATGAATCTCCGTGAGGTTTTGAAGAAGTTTGGACGTAACATTGGACTCAAACTCACTGCTGTGAGGACGTACGCAAAGCAACTTTTCATTGCTTTGAAGCATTTAAAAAATTGTGGTGTGCTTCATTGTGATATTAAACCCGACAACATGTTGGTAAGTCAACTGTTTGTGTATCTTCTTCTTTCCGTGGACTAGCTAATTCTCCGACTTCACATCTGCTGAGAGTTTTACTTTGCTTCCCTTAAATTGTATGTATATGTTAACCTTTCTGTATTTGATTATTTAGGTAAATGAAGCAAAAAATGTGCTGAAGCTTTGTGACTTTGGTAATGCTATGTTTGCTGGAAAAAATGAAATTACTCCTTACCTCGTGAGCCGTTTTTACCGTGCTCCAGAGATCAGTAAGATCAATTCTTCAATATTTGCTTTTTATATTTTTGGGACTTCCCTTTCTCTTTGTTTCTATTATTCAATGCTCCGACATTGATCCTAAGTACTTTTGTGAATTGTGTGCTTTTGTTTGATTAAGTTTCTGTATTATGTGATGTTGCAGTTCTTGGCTTGTCGTATGATCATCCAATGGATATATGGTCAGTGGGTTGCTGTTTGTTTGAGCTCTATGCTGGGAAAGTGTTATTTCCAGGTCCAACTAATAATGACATGCTTCGTCTTCATATGGAATTGAAAGGTCCATTTCCAAAAAAGATGCTTAGAAAGGTTCGTCTTAGACATTCTCCATATTACCCTAAGCTAATTTGGAATATTTATGATTTGAAGCTATTAACCTGGTTAAGTAGTTGCTGCGGACAATTCTAGGTGATTGCAGTAGGTGGTGCTGCTTTTGCAGTTTTTGCATCTTTCTTAATAATTGACATGATATAGTCAGTGTGGAAACAATAATTCTTTCCGTTCTCTTATTTCAGGGTGCATTTACAGAACAACATTTTGACCAAGATCTCAATTTTCTTGCCATCGAAGAGGATCCTGTTACAAAAAAGGTCGTTTCTTGTAGACTTTAGACTGTCTTGTCATTCCCAGATAATCAAACCATTGATAGTCATTAATGATAACCTTGCTATATATTAAATTTTGGTTGCACTTGTATACTTTTGCAGGCTATAAGGAAGCTGATTGTTAATATCAAGCCAAAAGATATCAGTTCAATAATTTTGGGCTCTCCAGGTGAAGACCCAAAGATGTTGGCTCACTTCAAAGATCTTATGGAGAGAATTTTTGTGTTAGATCCAGAAAAGAGAATGACTGTTTCCCAGGCATTGAGCCACCCATTCATCACGGGCAAGTGAATGACAACAATGATTTTATGACTAGGGACATACTGTTGCACTAGATACTAGTGTATTATGATCATATGATCTTAGTTTATTTTCAGTTCTCTAATCATTGGGCTTTATATGTCTTTATCTACTATCATGGGTTAAGTGCTTCGGAGATTGGCATGGTTGAAGTTGCAGAGAAGATTGCTGATTTTGGGAGATCTATATCTTGGCAGTTCTTTCAGTGCAATGTTTTCTGTTCTATCGTAAGATAACTTGCCAAAGGCGTTTTTCCCTTCTGTACTAATTCTTGATGGTGACATTATAAAGAGCTTCATACAATTTTAAAATAGTGATCATGTCTCAAGTGGTACTTTGGACTCAAGTCTTGAGAGTGGAGAATAACTTGTGCCAAAATAGATATTGACAGAAGCATGGTTATTCATATGTCTCTGTAAATAAACACAATGAATTAGCTGTTCACTCTGAATGTAGATTGGGATCTGTCTTATTATTTTTTGTCTCCCTTTCTGTACTTTTAGTTTTCTTGACTCTTGTCTTCAAATCTCTGATTTAATTGTTTATTTGTGTGGGATTATATAGCTTTCAGGCCTATTTCTTAATTGTGTATCATCTCTCTTTTGTTTTACATACTGTTCAGAATCCTCGGGTCCTGGAAAGTCTAATTTACTTTTTCCTTCAGGATATCTACCAGGGCTTTGATGCAAGATTCAGTGATTTAGATGCTTAAAAGGCACCCTGGAGAAGGTACCTTGGTTTGTTTGTTAGGAATTACTGTGACTCCCTTTTAATGTTGTGAATCTACTTGATTCCTTGGACATCAGTGATAATTTGCGTTTTCTTGTTCGTGTCAATTTTGTAATTTTTCTCGACAAGTTCTGCTTTCTGAACTTTAATTTGGTCCTGTCTGAATAATTGCACACTTGAGGGTGGTTTGTTAATGAGCCTCCTTAGGTTAGAATAGTAAAACTATCAAGAGCTAAAGGTTCTATATTATTTGGAAATAATTTGGAGTCATTGTTATTTTTTCTATTTCTTAAATTTTTTTCCCAAAAACACTTTCTAATAAGTTGCATTGCATCTGATCCATGGTATGGTCATCCTGGAGCAATGTATGACTGGAGAATGATCAGATGCAGCCTTGAAGTGAGTTGTCAATTTTATTTTCTTGCTGTTTGTTCAATAAGAATAATATATTCTACATCCCTTTGAGAAGTGTGGTATTGATGTGGCTTTTTGTCTTTGCTAGGGTGTGGTTCCATGCATCTGCAGTTCTAGTAAGTATACTTGAATTTCATTACGTCTCTGGTGTAATAGGTGGGTATCTTTTGAAAACCTGATATTCTTCTCAATGTATTACATTCAAAGTTTGGTAGTCCTCCATGGAATTGACCTACATGGAATATAATTCAAATTCTTAATTGGTTTTGCTAATAAAATTGGCCATTGTGGATCAAATCTATCTCAAATTTCAATTGTCCCTTTCCTGAACACTAACTTCCCGTGCCAGATTTTTAGTCATGAAAAAAAACATCTGTCTAGCTTGCATTGGAATTTGACTTTATAGATCCCTCCTCGAAGAAGCATTGCATTTTTTCTCCAATCTGCACGGTCAAGGAACATTTGACAAGCCTCTCATGTTTATCTTCCTCCACCTTCTTAGGCTCCAACATATTGCTCCTCTGCCAAGCCTCTCCGACTCTCTCTATCCATTTTTTGGCCATTAAACTTTGTTAGTCATGACAAGTTCAACTTGTGACTCTACCTTTTTATCCATAGGGTTTGTCCTTCTCGAAGGATTTGAGGTGTGATGTATACCACAAATCTTTAAACCCCTCAATGCCTGACTACCATTTGACTAGTAATCTTTCTTTCTCACGCTAACGAATTCTGCACTCAAGTTTGGTATAATTGTTTTTGGATTATGGTACTTTTCAGGAAATTCAGACTTCAAATAATGTTTAGAGGGGACAAGTGCATAGCTTTTATGAGATACTTAACTGAATAGTCATTTCCTTATAAAAATTCTTCTCAAGTAGAATGTAGCACTAGGAAATTTCTTTTTTGATGAAGGTAGGAATGTGAAATTTCTAAATTCAGACGAACACTGTAAAGGGACTATTTTCAAATGTCAAACAAAAACCATATTTTTAATGAGGTAGTGTTGCAAATTAAAGCATCACTAAAAACATATGAAAGCTCATAAGGAGTCAAATAGTTGGGCATGCAATTAAACTACTGTTAATCTTGCTACATTTTGCAAAAGTAATGTGAATATGAAAGCTCATAAGGAGTCAAATAGTTAGGCATGCAATTAAACTACTGCTCATAAGGAGTCAAATAGTTAGGCATGCAATTAAACTACTGGCAATCTTGCTACATTTTGCAAAGGTAATGTGATATCCAAGATGAGACAAAACAAGTGAGAAATAGCATATACATGTATAAGTTCGTTTATTTTGTTTAATCGGCTTATTTTTCAGAAAATCGAGAACTCAAATGTAAACGAAAATTTTGATTTTTTCGGTATTTGGTCGGTTCATGGTTTATGTTTTTAATATATCAGTTTTTCAATATGGTTCTTCAGTTAACTGGAAAATCAAAGTGAAAGAGGTTTTGGGGTTCTCTATACAGTACTCTTTAGTTTAAAAAGTTCTCTAGCCCAATTACACCCTCCCAAGGCTGAAGCCAGAGCTCTGATGTCAAGCCTAGGCTCTTAGCTTAGTTTATGCTAGGGTTCCAAGTCTCTTTTGCTGATGCATTGTCGCCTCACACTCTTACCGTCCCACATTTGTCCTGCATTGGTGCTGTACTGGCCTGCTTTGAGTCCCCTCTCCTCTTTCTTAAGAAGTCATAGGTAGATTTTAGTGAATTGACTTGATAAAGTTGAAGTGTATCTTTACTCTTGTTTCTGTACTTCTGAATGTAAGTTAAGTTTACCATAGTTCATTCCTGTTTCTTTAACTCACTTTAACACCGCCTTTGTTTGAGTGAACTCACCCCATTGTTTGTGGTTTGGTTCTCTTGATACTTTGGTGAAGCACTCACATACTTCTATCTTGGATCTCTATTTCTGATGTCTTAAAAAGTGTTTCGCATTACCTTCTACATTTTATTACGTCTTTAGTTAGAATAGCAGCTGTCATTTGAGTTGTTTGTTTTTGGTTCATGTGTATTTGTTGTTCTTCAGAATTCTTTTGTCATTCTAATGAAGCCATTATAAATTTTAAAATATTCAGAATACATTGAATCCTGCATATGTTGATTCAATTTGACATTACAAATCACTTCTTATTGTATAACAAGTGACATTACCCATCACTAGTCTGGATAAGTAAGAAGTGTAAAGAGCTCAATTTTCCCTTGAACTATGTGAAATGGTCCAACTTTGCCCTCTGTTAAAAGTTGGGAGTCATCCATATCCTCGCCAGTCGCCATTTAGTTTTGGCTCGAAATCTGAACTTCTAACCATAAGGGCAGATTTCGATCTTTTTCTCTATTATATGAGTTAAGACTCTAATCATCCGGAGTAGCACAAAAACTTGCCACGTTGCTATGCTGTCAAAAAAATGCAGCTTCCTAACTACCAAATTTGTTTTACACACTCATCACTTATGTATTGTGAAGTAAATTTATAAAAATATATATTTGAAGGGAAGCTTGCTCTGCCATTGTGGGTTCTCTGTTCGGTTTTGCTCTAATCACTTATGCCTTGAAATATTCTCAGCTGCATTTACTGCACCGATCTGTGTTTATATGTGAGATTATAGCTTGAATGTAAGAAGTGGAATGACCCTCTTTATGTGGGATCATAGTGCAACAACACCATTCGTATTTTGTGCTGTCTAAGGATTTAAAAATTTTGTTGCTCAATTACTCTGATCATTCTTTACTAGCTTCTTGGTGGTTAGAGCATTCATTTTTAGTAGTGCTACACACTTCATTTCATTTGTGTTTTCCGGTTATGGTGGTTAGGGATGAGTGTTGTTTTGGAGCTTGACGTTGTCATAGATTGTTAAATGATCATCATATCATGCCTTGATTCCTTGCACAACTGTGGATTGAATTCAGATTCTAGTAATTGAGATATTGCTTCATGATTTAGCTTATTGCAACTTCTTTTAGAGTTTGGAAAAGTTATCTCTATGTATGTAGTGGTTAGTTAAACCAGTGCTCCAATCGCGCGCTGCACTAATGCTGAAGAATTTTCTGCCTTCACCTGGATGTTCTGCTTAACTCTTTTGATATTTTAGTGCATAACAGTTGCCAGATTTTGTTGCCTTGATAGTGCAATTCTCAGCTAAGAAAGCCTACTTACGTCTTCAGAATCGCGACTCATGTCTACTTTGATTCTTCTTCAGCCTAATGATGTGTGTATTGTTCAGCTCGAAAGATTATGTTTGGGCAGCAGAGCCATTATTGATGTTCACTTGTTTTATTTCATATAAATTTACGTTTTCTCTTAACTTCCTAGTTTCAGCATCTGATGAAGTCTATCAAAGACAAAAAAAGTGAAAAAAAGAGCCTTGAGGTCGCATTGCTGCGATATATCGCCAACTTTAACGATCGAAGTTGCAAACAGAAAAAAAAATATTGTATGTATATAACACAATTCCTACACACACAAATACATATACATGTTATTAATAAATATAATGAGTAGTTAATCATATTCACAAGTATGGAGAGCAGTTAAATTTTACTTTAACTTAATGAAATGCATATTTAATTTGTTTAAGTTTCTGTGATTAACTTATTTCATTGTGTTTCTCACAACTGACACAAGTTGTGTGAGTCACAATTTGACAGACCAAAATATTGCAACTCTTGACACAAATTGTCTCATAATCATAAACTAAATGAGGTCCCAACTTTGTAAAAGTTGAAGAAATAATTTGTGACAAATAAAATATTATTAACTATTTAACTAAAAAGAATACCAATTAATATGACAAAACTCAATTAGATTCCTACAACAAGTATATTTTGGTTGCATCAAAATTCAATGACGTAGAAAAGTATAAGCTTATGGAAGTTTCATTGTTGTTACATTTTTTTGGGTTACAATGATTGAAAGCTAAAGATTATGAAAGAAAGAAAAAAAAGGTCAAGAATCTATAAATGCAATAACGTAAAGAAAATTATCATTCATTAGAATTTTGCTAAACCAAAAGTAAATTAACACTTTCTGGTTTGAATAAATCATTTGGAGTACACTTGAATTTTCTTTTGATCACTGAAAGTACCATGAAAGTTCCAAATTTATCACCTAATATTTATACCAATTTATTATAGTTAAATCACAAAAAATGGATGAAGATGTATTATTAATTATACTGTTAATAAAATATCCTGTTTGTGAAGACATTTATATATCATATATTTATTGGGTTGGTATAAACATCGGATCCAGATAAACTTTTTATATACTCACAAAAATGCTACTAGTACTAGTACGAACGGAGTCCTTTGTAATAATTTACCTGTTTTTTTAAATATACTATCAGTCTATCACTGTATAGTTAAATACTTTAAAAATCCAAAGCTATTAAACCTTGCACTTAGAAATTAGATAAAAATAAATCTAATAATAAAATAGATAACTAGTCAATTTATTTTTTCATTGTCAAACATATATAAATGGCTGTGACGTCCCTGCTAGGTAAATTGTTATTGTTGACGTTGAGAGGTTTAAATTTCTAATTTCAACTTGACTATCTTTTCAGTCTTCATTGACTGTTCAATAATAATAATAATAATAATAATAATAATAATTTAATTCTTTCATTTTATTTCATACAAATCCGAATTGGATATCCAATTTGCTTCAGTTTGAGATTATTTGAGGGAATAGACTTTAAAAATTTATGATCTTAAATATTTTTAACATACTAAAAATATTTTTTGATATTATAATTATAATTTTTCATGTTTATTTTTATAAAAATAATAGTGTGTAATTAAAGATAAAATAAGAAGTAAGAAATGATTCAAACGATCACAACGCATGCACACATGTAATACATGCACGTACAGTCGTGTGACAATAAAGCTTTTACTGAAAATCAACTACAAAAAAATAAAGAATTTTACTATAGTTATTTAACGATAATAATATAATTATTATTATATTATATTGAGTGAAATATGTAAATATTTGTAACCAAATTCTTTAATAAATATCACTAAAGAATTTATCGATTTTAGTCATGATTACGTAATACACTTAATTATGGTAAACATCAATTAATGTTGATAAGTTTTCTCTTAACCTGAGATGAAGGATGATTAAACAAATTTTACCATTGTTTCAGAATTTTAGATTGTTTGGGGACTTATAGTTTTTAGTCAAGCTTCTTAAAAATTAACTTATTTTGAAAAGTATTTTTGGAAAAAAAATATATATGTTTGACCAATAATTTTAGAAATATTTCTAAACGGTAATTAGTATTTGATCAAACCTTATAATCAATACTTCTAAATGTATTTTTCAAAAAAATGCTTTTTGAATTTTTATTTTTTTTAGCTTTGAAAAACAATTACATTCAAAAACATTTATTTTTGTCACAAAAATTCAATCAAAGACCTTACTTTTTATTTTATTTTTTTAGCATTTTTGTAAATAAAAATAAGTTTGACCAAACAGAATATTATTTAGTCTCAATAAATTTCCTAATGACGTCCAAGGTAGTTTTAATTTTGAAAGGTTCTAGAAACAAAGTGATTATAGCTTCTATCATTAGTAGCTAATTAGCAGTTGTCAATAAGTTTTGAATAATCAGCTTACCTAACACAACCTCTAAAAAGACTATTTTTCTAGCTTTTCTAGCAATTTGATAGGACTTGGGAACTTTAGTATAAATAAAATTTCATTTTCAAATACCTTTAAAATTTACCTTCTCCCTATTTTGATATATTCATCGTTTTCATTATAAGTGTCATTATTCTTTTCAAATTTATTAAATTTTCGAAGTTAAATATGATCTTAAAATCGTAACAATCGTATATTTATATTCGATAATTAGATTTCATTCTCAGGTAAAATATACGTACACAATTAAATCACTTATAAATCAAATATATTCAATACGAACGCAATCAAATCACTTTCAATCTCTTATTTAACCTCCAACTAATTCAGGTTGCTAAAAATTACCAACATCGTGTCAAATACTCAATATTGTTTATACAATTAATTTAGCTACAACTCAATATTTTCCTAGTAATTAAAGAGTAACGCAAAAAACTTTCCTCGTTTGAATTTTTGTTATTTATTAATATTAAATTCATATATAGCTTTTTTCTTTCTTTCTTTATGTTGTGGTAGTGGAATATCTTAGGATATGATACTGTAGAAAAAATTGCTTCTCCCTTAATTAGAGATTTCTGATTCGAGCTTTGAATATTAAAAATTCTCAATATAGAAAGTGTTTTCCTCTGAATGAGACTTTATATGACATAAATTTAAATTAGTCAAATTTCAATACGGATAGCGATCGAAAAAACCCAAAAATATGTTGTGGTAGTGGACATGAAACAAAAATGAGAAAATTTACATAATTGGACCGTTTCAAAGCCGCAAAAAATCACCGAGTTTTTTCTATTATGTACACCTCTTAACCGCGTCTCAAATTCCTATTTTTCCATTTCATACTAAAAAACTTCCTTCATAAGAAAAATCCCCACACGTTACTTTAACATTATTTTTTTTATATATATAATCGTGATGTCTAGGTCATCTAGTATCTCCTATTAATAGTTATCAAGTAATTATATTCATTAAACTAGGATTGAGTAAGTATTTTATTTTATATCTAATTATAATATTCGAACCATTTATTATTTTATTTTTTATATATATATTCATGATATTTTAATTATTTAGTAATTTTTCTTTCCATTAAAATTTAAATGTACATTTTAAGGAAACCTAATAGCTCAGTTGATTGGCTGTCTGAACTCTCACCTTGTTAAGAAGGATTCGATCTGATCACATTATAATCCCCTTCCTTTCGCCTTTCCTCTACCCCCAAATTTATTTATTTTTAAAATCTACTTTAAGACTATTTTAAATGTCCACAAAAAACATTTGCACCATAATATATTTGAGAAATTTCTTATTAACTTCCCCACAACATTCTTTATATTTTCTTATAATTCACCCTTCGTCATTATCAAAAGTTGCAACTGAGCTAGTTTCATTTGTTCCTATCCTTCTAGTCTCTTCAACAACCACCAACCATTAAAGAAAAAACTCATTTTGTGTTTTTTACTTCTCTTTCTTTTACTTGTTTCTCATTGAGTGAGGAAACAAACAAGTGAAACGGAAGTAGCCATGGGAAGAAAACTTGATGCTTTACTAGGAAGAAACTTTAAAATTAGTAAATTCAAGGCCACTGCAAATTTAGCCATTTCCAGGGTTACTGTACTCAAGAACCAACGCCAAGCACGATGCTCGATCGCGCGGTCTGATGTGGTTCAGCTCTTAAACCTTGGTTTCCATGAAAGAGCTCTTCTAAGGGTAACTTATTTATTTCACTATATTATCATTTTGATCATGTGGGGATATGTATAGTACATATTTCGAGTTAAAAAGTAATAGATTCAGTTGAACTCACAGAACCGTTATGTTTGTAGGTTGAGCAAGTGATGAAGGAACAAAATATGTTGGATGTGTTTGACATGGTAGAAGGCTATTGTCTTCTAGCTATTGAAAGAATCAACCTTATTCAACAAGAGAAGTTAGTGTTTTTAATTTATTTATGTTTTCAATTGTGGATATGTGTATATGTTTTTTTTTTTTGAAAATCTTAGTAGCTCAGTTGGTTGACTGTCACCTGGTATTAAGCTTTCTCATGTTTTGTCTGTAGAATATGTCCTGAGGAATTGAAAGAGGCAATATCGAGCTTGATTTTTGCAGCTTCAAGGTGTGGTGAGTTCCCAGAACTTCAGGAGCTTCGAGCAATTTTCACGTCAAGATTTGGGAAAGAATTTGCAGGTCGTGCTGTTGAGTTAAGAAACAATTGTGGAGTAAATCCTAAGGTAATAAATATCAGAAAACCTGGTATAGTATTCTATCGTAGTCTACGAACAAAATGGCATTACTAATAATGAAACTAATTTACTGTTTTTTCGCAAAGTAGATGATACAAAAGCTGTCAACAAGGATGCCTAGCTTAGAACAAAGAACCAAAGTGCTCAAGGAAATTGCAGCAGAGAATAACATTGTTTTGAAAATTGAGGAAATAATTTTGGAAAATACAGAGGTATGTTTTGAGATGAGTCTTGAATTATAACGCGATAATTATTCTATTTTTGAAGTAAATTTTTAAAGAACTTTTACGATGAAAACAGGAGGAGGAGGTCATCGCGAAAAGGAAGGACCAGCCTGAAGATCACATACCAGTTTTACCTCAAAATGTAGACCATGAAGCTAGGAGAAAATATAAAGATGTAGCAGCTGCAGCTCAAGCAGCTTTTGAGTCTGCTGCTTATGCAGCAGTAGCTGCAAGAGCAGCTGTGGAACTCTCTCGGTCTGAATCGCGTGATCTGGATGACCCCAAGAGTCCGAGTCAGAAGCCAAGGAATGTATCGGACTCTTGTGAGGATTTGAAATCTGAGTTTCATGAAGGAGAGGAAAAGAATAATGAGGGAGTTGAGAAAATCGAGACTAGTCAGAACTATGGTTTTCATTCTGAAGTCGACCAATTCTCTGATGGAGATGAGGTGGAAGAACTCAAACAGAGGAAGTTTGAAGAACAGTTCAAGAGATCAGTCTCTGTTTCAAGTTCTGATATTTCAGCAGACGACATTCTTGTTGATGAGGTGAAAAGTCCTAGACATGGTGTAATTTATGATGAAATAGATGAAGTTGGAGAGGAAAACATAATCCCGTCATTAAAACGTCCTAAGAATGAAGTTTTTGGTTCTCCAGTGCACCAAGCAGGAAATGAGAAGGAGATTGAAGGATTCACAAAGCAAGGTGCAGGAAAACTAGACATAAATAAGAAGCCAATATCAATGAGAACAAGAAAGAACTTTCACTGGTGAACCAAGATCCGATATATGTTAACAAAAAGGAGATTGAAGTATTCACAAAGCAAGGTACAGAAAACCTATACATAAATAAGAAGCCAATATCAGTGAGAACTAGAAAAAAGTATCACTAGTGACCAAGGATGAATAAATGTTTGCTCAGATTTTGCCAGTTGGTGCATATATTGTGTACTTAGTCAATATATCATAGCTACATATTTTCTTTATCTTTGGAGATTTTGTAAGTTTGCGGATATATTTTGTGCTTTTGTCAATATAATGTAGCTTCATATTTTGTTTGCTTGATTATAAGTTCTAGACAAATGCTGTGATATTTTATAATAATCGAAGCTACAGCCAGACACATAAATTCTTTTGATTCGAAACTTTACTGCTATGGGATACTATTATATGCTATGAAAAAAGGGGTATAAACTTGTGCAAAGTTCAGTCTATCATACCTTTAAGCTTTCAGTAAAGATGTAGTGTGAGCTGGCAGATTAGAAAACTCGGAGAGAAACTTAGTTGAAAAAGCAACATACACTAAAATATGTACAATTGAATAAACTGAGAAGCCCAATGTAATCCACAAAGTGAGGACTAAGGACGATGGTGTGTACACAGCTTTACCCCTCACAAGAAGTGTAATTCGACAAGTGGGGTCTGGGAACAATGGTGTGTACGATGGCTTACCCGAGAGGGTAGAGAGGCAACTTTTTATTTGTTCAAGATGGATAAGCATATTTATACCCCAGAAGTGTGGCAGCTCAATGCCAATCTTGACGAAGTAAAAGGCCATAGAGTTGCTGTGCATTTACATTTTAATAATAGCCTATTTGGTTAAGTCCTCTACTGTAAAACTCCCTATACCAATTTCAGTTGTCTTTTGAACCTAAAACCACTTCCAGTAGTGATGAGAGTAAAGCAGACAAGAGGTCTTAGAAAAGCAGATTAACATTACAAAATGGCAAGATTACACAATTCCAATGTCTACAAATATATACTCTTAGAACACCTGATCAAGTATACTCCTGCGGTAAAATGTAACACGTAAATATAATCACTAGCCTCTAGCGACGCTTCTTGCCATGCTGGATCAGGTCAGCAAAAGACTGAAAATTCACATCAACATCCTCATCATATTCAACTCCAAGTTCCTCCTGAAATGCACATGAAAATTAGGAGTGGAGTTTAGAAAGAGCAAGCAAAAATACGAAAAGATCGACTTGTTAATACCTTAAACTCTTTTGGATTTTTGGGTGAGTTCTCAGTTATGGCATCCCATACATCTCTGAACATCCTTTTTCGCCTTCTCCACTGATTTAAGGCTTCCGAATACAACCCCTCGATGGCTTTTCTTTCTTCTGGACTTACAAGAGTAACACCTTCCCGCAATTTAATTAGTTTCTTTTCCATCTCATCAACCTTGAAATGATAAAGAAGTCAGGATATTTTTCAAGTTATGCTTGAAGACCAGATTCAAATGCTACAGAGTTCCACAGAGTCTCTTCATCTCCTACCTCTTTTCTCAGTTTGGATTCTTTAGCATGTATCTCTTCCATAGTCAAATTTGACTGCAGAGACTTCATCTCTGCAACAAAACCATTATAATTTACATGTAACATCACTCAGTGAGTAGAAGATTATCAAATTCAAAAAACGGCCTACAAATTTGTACAAATAACTCACAGACAACAGCAAGGAGTATCAAATAAGATTACCTGCTTCAACCTCACTGATGGCTTTCTTCTGTTCATTCAGCTTTTCTTGTAGATTGACATTTTCTTCCTTCATTCTATTAAGCTCTTCCGTGTCTGGGATGTCAAACTGATCTTGCCGAGCCAGATAAATTTTCTGCTTGCCATACTCTTTAAATGATATCTTACCACTGTCACAGAGATTATCCAGGGCTTTTTGTACTGCAGCTTTTTTAAGGTTAAACTTTTGCAGTGCATCTGCCGCATTTTGGACATTCAATGGTCTATTTTGCTACATTAAACACCATGCGGAAAATAGGAAAATCACAGACTGTATAACTCAAAATTCAAAAATTTGCAGTTTGATAGCAAACTAACAGGTATCCAGAAAAAAATAGACAAGAAAGTGTCACACTATCTTCACGGAATCTTGATAAGCTATACCCTCTGTCAAGACACTAATTCAAGCAACAAAGGAAATTACACTGTGCGCACACAGTAGCAACTGAAGCTGTAATTCTTCTATATCCTACACTTACTTCCTCAACATTTTTAATGGAACTTTTACAAGGAAGCAAATATAGTATACCATAGCTTAGTTACATTGAAGCTAATCAGTTTGATTAACAACAGCTTTCGATATTTACACCTGAATCTTCAAAGCAAAATAAAATAAAATGTAATGTACTGCATTACAACTTTTACTGCATAGCTGCTAATTTTAAGTACAGAATTACACTTCATGTTTCAAATTTAATACTCATACCGGTGAAGCACGTAGAAATTAGTTAATTACAGTAAATTATCCATTTGTGTAAACAATAGTAACACTTTCAAACAAAAATTCTCTAAATCTTAGATCCTTCGACTACATTTATTTACACATTACAAGTGAGATTTGGAAGAAGAAACAAAGACAAATGCACAGAAACACTACAAACATCGAATTAGCAAAATGATGAACTGTGTGTTACCTCGTTCACGAAATTGAGCACGATTCCTGCAAATTTTCAAGTAACAAAAAGTCGATAAGCTTTAGGATCTGTAAATTAAGATTTCAACTACGAAAATATTCAATTCTGTTATCCGGCGAAGATATTCCGGCGAGATAAGTTACCTTCAGTGTTATCTGCTTTAGGAGCCATGGATTGGAGAATTCACAGAGCGCGGGAAAAAAAGCTTCTGCCAAAATTTCTATACTTCGAATTTCCAGGAAAAATTGGGCACGAAGGCTAATTACGAAAAAAGGATTCTTACATCGTAAGTTTCAAGTGAGAGTCGCCATAGAGCCCATGGGCCTTGTTGGGATGGACCAACCCAACTAGAAAAACTTTATGGGCTTTTAGTTCATGATAAGTCTCTGAGTCCAAATGTAACGGGGCGTGGAAGATGAACAATCGCTAAGGAATAGCTTGAATTAAGAGAAAGTGAACTCGGCCATGGTTTCAAATTTGTGCGTATAAAAATTACTTTGGCACTATACATACGAAAGAAAGAAAACTAATTTCTCTTTCACAGGTTTTGTAAGACGTAATATAACTTTGGTACAATACATATTCTACCTATCTTGTTAAATTAAGGTTGTTAATTGACAAACTTTACCCTATTCACAAGGTAAGGTCATGCAAGGTGAGACATAACTTTGGTACAATTTACATTCTAATTGGATTGACAAACCTTGTTGAACAATGTTCATTCTATCTTTTTAAAATTATTTGTAAGCCTTGCTACATATGTAAAATCTTGCATGCGTTAATTAAATGTTCATAAGTTTTGTCGGACAAGAAAAACTTAGTGCTACTATCTTCATTCATCTATCTCATTAACTGTTCACGAGCTTTATCAGATTGACAAACATTACAAGACATGTTAGGCTGACAAGACTTGATACTATCTTCATTTTACTTATCTTATTAAATTATTCACAAAATTTGACCATCTTACCACCCCGTCATAACACACTAACTATCTAAAAATTATTTATACTAGCAATGCAATTGAAAAAGAAATCTTGAAAGTTAGAAACAAAAATGACTCCAATTGTTTTCTCCTTCAACTATAGTACACTTAAAAAGAAGATAACATATACCAAACAAAATAAAACAAAAACAGAACTTGAAACAATTTGCCTACAAATAAATAGCAAAACAACAATTAGGTCAAATTTCCACCACTCTGCTGCCACAAATTGATAATATCAGTAGCTTGATTAAGCAAAATAATCATTTGCTTTTGTGATATCCATGGCTTACTCTCTAGTGTTGTTTTCAACTCTTCCCATGCATCTTTTCTTGGCCAAAAAAAGTATGGACTTAATGGTACACTTCCATGGTCTGGTAAAACTTGATCAAGGCCAAGTCCAATATTTTTCTCCATCCATATGAATTTTAACACTAGCCTTGGCTTCTCAATTACCTTTTTCTTCATATCAACCTTCTGAAAAAAATAATTCAAGAATTCACTAAGATATCAAAACATAATATCCTATCCTTTTGGCTCATTATTTATATAGACGTACATACGTATCTGAAAAGAATTATGTTCATTCAACTGAACTTATTATTTTCAATCTTGAATAATGTAGACACAATATTGTTTCAATACGGGTGTGAGTGTCTGACACGGGCGAAAGTTAGATGTTGGATTTTGTCATAGGCGGATCTAGCTAGGATGAGTCAAGTGCATTCAAGCTAGCTAAGTGTTCAACTGAATTTATTATTTTTGGCTTGTCATCATAACTTATACTTTTAGGTTACAATATAATTTAACTCGATTTTTGTTTTGTTTTTAGCTAAATGACCAATATACTTTCCTAATTATGCCTTTAAATTTTTTAATTAATTAAAACATTCATAATTTGCTAGTTATTCCTCATTTTCATTAACAAGTGTTGGACTACCATTACATTTTTAGAGAATCGTATCTTTAATTTAGCACCAAATGATTCAAAAATATTCTTTTACATTTCTAAACTACGTATCAAGTCAAAATCAGACAAACATTACTAGAACTACTTTTCATGAAATTAATTGAGTTGCACGCAAACTGATCCGAACACTTGAAAAAAAATACATAATGAAAAAATTAAAGTGCTGATTTTTTACCTCAATTTCTAGAACAACAGCTTCTGAAGTGTCAATTGCAACTGGTTCTGCTTCTGTAACTGCTGAAGCAAAAATCTTATGAATTCTTCTTGTTGATGAACCTTTGTTGTTTAAAGAAAATGAACAACATGATTTGAAGGATTTGTAAGAAGGATTTTGTGAAGGAAAAGAAGGAATACTCAAATTGCCTTTCAAGCTAGATTGAACTGACATTGATAACATTTTTTGGTGTTGGAAAAAAAAATTGTCTAGTGATGAAAAAAAGTGAAGTGGGAAAATTGTGGCCTTAAAAAGAGTGTATGTAGAGAATTTTAGATAATGATGGAATGGATAAGGTAGTAGAAGAAAAATAGAATGAAAGAATTTTAAATTGGGCTAAGAGGCCTATGTGTTATGATTTGGTCATATTATGGGATTTGGGCCCAAAGAAAGTATGATTCACTAGTTCTCATAGCTTTACTACTTTTGTATATTTAGCAATGTTATGTTTGATTTGGGGTGTCAAATGGACAGGTTAGACGGATTTTGGAGGATTTAAAGTTGAGTTGATAAACGAGTGGGTATTGATTTGCCCAAAGATTATTTAGTTGAGAGAAGATGGGAAAACATTGGGTCGTAGTCCAATTTGTTTAACTTTTATCAAGTTTACGTTTCTTTACAAGCAGAACTAATGAGTATCAGATTTTTGTGGACTAATTTTGTCATCTCTAAATTATCTAATCAACTTGATCAATATTATCTGATTATTCAAAAAATAGAATATATCTCATGGGTGAAGATTGTTCATGCTTCTCAAATGTTACGTACTTTTAGGTCATTAGTCATCAACTTCTTAGATAACGAAGTAACAATGATTTCACATTACTTTCTTGACACGTCTATCATTATTATTTTAGAAAAATCATCTTCTCATTCAAATGTATGTCGGGCCTTGAACTTGTGGATGAGTGTGATATATATACACCTCTTTGACTATTCATGAAATTAAATCCCTAATTTTAACAAAAGAAGTGCATATTAAGAATGTCCAAGAGCTACATTCTTTCTTATTGGTATTAAAGTCATCTTTGTAATATAATCTGAAAAAAAAACTGAAAATGAAGTTCATATATCATAAATATTTTTTTTCCAATGTCATTTTCTTCATAATTAGTAAAAGAGACGACTTTTGATATATATGTCCATGCGCACTACTCATTCAAGTTTATGAAGAAAACATTACTTAGAGCTGAATTTTATGATATTGACAAAATCATATAATAAAAAATAATCACAATATTAGTCATATTAATTATGAAGTGATCAAAATGAGTTGCAAAATTGAAGACCATTAATTCAACCCACCTCATGAATTCATACTCATATTTTGCCCTTTGCATACACACAAAAAGTATAGTATTATGATCAATGTGACGCTTGGTTTAATTTTTCCAAGATTAAGAGCTAATATTAGCTAGAGGTGTCGTATCCAAGAAGAACGGAGATCGATGATGATGTCGTACATCACATAGTTGGAGTGGACTGGATAAAATGAAGGTTCATACTCGGGTACTATGTGATAAGGGTGTGTTATCAAGTCGTAAATGTAAGTTCTACGGAGTCATGATTAGAATAAAGTCAAATGAACGAGTTGAACTGAATTTAAGTGAGTCAAAATGAGTTGAGTTAATAAATAGACAGATGAAAAGTTATTTAAGTTGAAATAGTGCAAGTCATAACTCAATCCACCAAATTCTTATTAAATTTATTTTTCTAACTACATTGTTTATATAAAAAAAAACAAAAGAAAAATGACTTCCACACAAAAAATTTAAAAGTTATTTTTCCTTTCTAGTAAAGAAGACTATTTTCTAGCAACTAATCATCAGAAAATAACTTGTTTAATTTTGAAAATCATTATACCAAATAGTACATTAGTGCACATGTAATTAGTTGAAGTCACGCCTCTTTTTTATAGAATAATAATTAGCTGAAACTTTTACCAAATATATTTGCTCATGTTAAATAGAAGTCCTAATTTGTACCAAAAATTTATTTCTTTATTGGAAAGAATTCTTTAATTACTTACTAAACATGTTTACATGATCTAATAGTTGAAAATGGAAGCAATTGAAATTGACAGAATGCTTCCACGTTTGTTTGAGTTGTATAGAAAGTCTTTATCTTTTTAATTCATTTTTTCCAAAGAAAAATTCAAAAAATAAACTTTCAAATGAGAAAAAATCATTTTCCATTAAGTGTCCGATATTTATATTTGAGTCCGATTAAATCTAAATTCGCATTGCGAAACCCATTTGTAAGGATGATGCTCCCAACAGAGTTTTTATCAATTTCAGAAGTTTAAATCCAAAATCTGATTAAGAATAGAGGAACCGGATCCCCATAATCCCACCGCAATTGGTCAAATGAGAAAAATTGAAAACTCTTCAAACTGTGAGAGATCATTAAAAAGACATATCACGTAGTGAACAAATTGCCTAGCAATATGAATTAATTTGTCCCTTTTGCTACATTGAAAAGTCATTTAGCTTTGTGTATACACACAAAAAAAAATTTAAAAAAATTATGAATAAGTCTCTAAGTATATGCTTGCTCTAAATTCTTATATATATAGCTTGGCATATATTTATTCATTTCATAGACCTTTCTCATAAATCTACATTTAGACCATATTGTTATTTCTTCTGACTCTTCTTTTGGTATTTGCTATCACTATCTGTTTCTTATAACAAATTTCTGGTAATTTTCCTTGTGTTTTTTCTTTTTTTAACTTTCTTTGATTTGTTTGTTATATTTATAAATAAAATCCCAATAATAGATTTTCTTTAATTTCCAATTGAATTTGCAGGTTTAAAGAGCAATGCTGTGTTATTGGTAAGTCTTATACAAAATCCATTCAGCATTTCCCTTTTTATTACTTATATTCTTATGTTAAGCCATGAAATGTCATGCCATCTTTCAATAATTTCTAGCATAACTGACCAACAAAAACGATAACATACTCAGACCTCAGTGTACATACGTAATCCTACAAGTTAGGTCTAGGTTTGGGGAGGGTATAGTGTACACAAACCTTATAACTCCTACATTAGAGAAGTTGTTTCTGATAGACCCTTAGCTCAAGAAAAA